ACCGCTACAATTTTTTTTTTTTTAAAATAACCAGGCCTGTAAAACGTCATGAGATGAAGGGATTTAATTTTTCCGCTTTTCTCTATTTAAAAAAGAACAGAACTATAAAGAACTCCATTCAAAGTGGTTTAATATTGCTACTTATTTGTGAACTTGAGGTATCCATATTTATCTCCTTTAGCAAAAAAATGAATTGATGATTCTAGGAGCAATGAGCATTCAGTGTCATTTTTAAGTTGAAATATAGTGTTAATGCCTCAATATTACCATAGCAAACTTCAGCGTGTTAACATGACTCGTTCAAAAAATAAGTAGGTAAAGACCTTTCTGAAAAGCACTGTATGATGACGATTGAAATCTTCGCTCAAAATTAGAGAAATTGAGATGCTTAAGATAAGCATTTCTGTTAAAACTAATTTTGAAGCTGACTCTAAAGAGTTCAATATTGAGTCCACAAGAGGTGACAGGTAATCAAACACTTCAATTTAAGGAAGTCTGTGGTATATTGGAAAATAGATATCATCACAGACGCTAGAGGATTTAAAATCATTACGTAGTCTTACAGGTATACCCAAGGATTCCAAGAAGATCTGCTGGGATCTACAGGGTGACTTTGAAGTTGAGTCATTAATTTTCAGATAATGATTGTAGAAGGAAGATAAACCAAAATATGTGTGTAAAAATAAAAAAAAAAATAAAAAAAAGTTTACTTTGTTTTATAAAGTATCCTCCCGACAAGTATTTCAGTGCGGACCTGTATTTGATCGTGAGGTCTTGGAGCACCGGCATGCCGTCCCCTGTGAGGTCTTAAGTCACCTGATTCACGAGCCCGTAGTACTACATTAACAAAGGCACGAGGGGTTGGTTGCATTCGATTGGGAAACCGATCCGCATAAACATGTGCCATTTTTTATTTCGTTTGAGCCACGCAACAGACACCACTATTCACTCACGCGTTACCGACTGACACTGACTGTATACAACTGAATAAAATAATTGTAAAAACATCGTTCCAAATTCTTTCGCTTTTTTGTTTCCGATGCGATGAACCGATAAGGTGGATTATATCCGTTGTTGCCAAACACGAGCACATAATATTATTATTGAGACAGGGCGGTACTCAAACTTCCAAAGGGCTATAACTTTGTTACTTTAATTTTACCAGAAAAATGGTAAAGGAAAAAAATATTTCTTTTGATCAGATCTACTCACTGTTAAAATAAATGACTCAACTTCGAAGTCACCCCGTATAGCTGGCGATGCAAGCATTGGGGAAGATATTTGTATAAACAGGTTCAATAGTAAACCAGATTTTGAACTTGAGCATAAATAATATAAAATTTTCAATTCATATTCTTGTTTCCTTTCTTAAATTTGTAGCTAATTTTTGTTTCATTTATTTTTTTAATGAGTACATAATTGAGCTTAACATAATACAAATTTGACATTTAAGCTATTATTTGTTTGGTTTTAGAAACGCTTCAACTTCGGCGTATTTCTCTATTTTTAAATGAATATGATGCTAACTACTAGAATATAAACAAGATAATGTTTGTAATGTTTTCTTAATTTTGCCTAACATGACAAAGTAAAATTGTTGTGTTGTGGTCATTCAATAAAAGCAAAAATAAGAATTATTTTTGAAAGCATTACTTGATCAAGCCCCATTTTATTTCATTTGGTTTCAGGTATGACAGATTCTGAAAAAATGTTCGCATGCCTAAATTTGTACAGAACAAAAAATAGTCGATCTTTAACGAACAGGCTGGTTGACACTTTTTTTAAGTAGGCCTTAAATAGTTAAAATTTGTTCTATTAAGCAAAAAAAAATATTACTATATTTTTCAGACCTAAAAGACCGTAACTAACCTAAAAATATATTTTTTTAGACAGGCGAAAATGCTGTTCGCCATGTTTGGCCCATATTAATTTGTTATGACGTAATATGCGGCTGACAACAGACAACTTTTCAAATCTTAAGCATTGCTTCTACTAATTCACATGAAAACTATAGCAATTATCGTTATTGTATTCTCCGAGAATACATCAAACACATCAATAAAGGGTCCATGAAAGTTGTGGATTAGAAGTGCCCAGGGAAATAAATATACGCAACACTGGGTATTGCTTGGAGCATACCTTATATTTCGGACACATTTTACAGATTTTATTGTCTCGTTTAAGTTGGACGTAACTTACGGCATGATCACGGTACGATTCACTTGCAGACGTGCAAGAAGAAATACAGTATTTGATAAAATTATTCAGATTTTATGACGCATAACCTTGGTTTGACTTCTGAAAAAAAGATTATGTAAGTGTATTACCAGGTATTACCTATTCTTTCTGTTTATATCTATCATCAGATCCACCTTACTTACATAGAAGTCTTGATGTTCCTCAGCTCTGTAGGTCAGAAATCTGGTAAAGCAAAAAAATTCTTGATAGTCACTGTGTTTATTTTGGGAAAATTAGTGCTTTCTGCTTTTACGAATCCAACGTCCATGATTTTTTTCCAATAAAACGAGAAAACGATAACTTTTTACGCTGATTACACGTTTTTTAGGAATATCTAAACAAGGCAACTTTAGTCCACGAGTGACATACGGATGACGTTTCTTTGTTTACAATTTGTATGGCGTCGGTACATGGCCGATAGTGTTTTTTACATTGGACCTATACAGGGTGGCCCATCCATGTGGACGGAATATTACTCATAAGCAAATAAATTTTTGGAAAATCGGTTTATGGCATGTTATACATAACATTTGAGGGCACATTTGTAAAATATTGGCTATTATACAGGGTGTCCCAATTTTGACCTACATATCAAAGTTGTGATTTTTCACATAGAATGCATATTTGGATGTCAATTCAAAAAAAGGAGACTGATATAACATACCATGGGGTTTTGGCAATTAGCTACTGAGGTGTAAGGTGTTTTGTCCAGAAAAACCGCCCACTTCGGCAACCCCTCAATCCGCCATTTTGAAATCTGGAGTGCTGAATTTTGTTAAAAAAAACTTACACACCTCAGCTTTTATCTTATTTGTTACTATTTCGAATTTTCATTTTTGCTCATACTGGGAGGTGAAAAACGCAAATTGTACTTTTTCTCATAAATTTCATATTTGTTATATTTGTGCAAGTTTGGATTCAATTTTTTATAATCTTTTTTTTGTATAAGGTTTGATTCGGATAAAATCACTAGATTTTGAGTTATTTAGCTTTTAATAGAACAACACCAAAATTAAGGAAAAAAATCACATCATCCATGAAAACAAAAGACAAACAGTGGGATAGTTCCATTTTGCCACTAAGAGTACAGATTTGACGTAAAAACTAATAACAATCAGAACAGTATAAATTAGCTTCAAGCGTAATGGAGAAAAACAATAGAACAACACCAAAATTAAGGAAAAAAATCACATCATCCATGGAAACAAAAGACAAACAGTGGGATAGTTCCATTTTGCCACTAAGAGTACAGATTTGACGTAAAAACTAATAACAATCAGAACAGTATAAATTAGCTTCAAGCGTAATCGAGAAAAACAACTATAACAACAACATAAATAAACAACTAACACAGCATACGTGTTTCCTTATGTTCAGAAAAGCATCCTTAGGGCCGATTTCACCAACATTAATATTATGGACCACTGGGAAAATACCTGCAATATGCAATAATCAGCTGTATTCAAATAATGTCTAATATAAATATAACCTAGAATGTGTACTCGTGAAAAAAGAAAAATATGGCAAATTTGTAGTTTTTTTTTGCAGGTTTTAGGTTTGCTGGTAGCTTTAAGGCATATATTTGGGAATTTCTTAATCGCTGTGAATATAGTGTGGATGTTTGTTCAGTTCCTGAACAACGAAAAATATTCAACTTTATGGATGTATGGATATCAAAAAACATGAATGGTTTTGTGGGAATATCAATCTAAGGTGCCATAATGGTTCTGATGAACGGCAAGTAAATGAATGAATGTTTGGAAACGAGCAATATCTTTTGGTAGAGCCTGTCATCCAGTAGGTGCTTAATGGCTATCTGCAAGAGGTTTATCGGAAAAAACATCTAGTATCACATGTCAATTGAACAAAATAATATAAACATGAATAAAAAATCAACAATAGTAATTAAAACATGAATTTAATTCAAATATTTCTTAAAATTTTGTCTGAATTATATGTAATTTCTTAATATTCAATAAGCTGCTAAAGTTGCCTCAACGATAAAAAGGATCTTATGGGTGATGCTTTTAAATTTGTTGAGAAAAACTACAATTTGCGTTTTTGAACACCCTCTATAAACAAAAATTAAAATTCTAAAAAGTAACAAATAAGATAAAAGCTGAGGTGAGTACGTTTTTTTTATACAAAATTCAGCACTCCAAATTTCAAAACGGCAGACTGAGGGGTTGCCGAAGTAGGGGGTTTTTCTAGACAAAACACCTTATACCTCAGTAGCTAATAACCAAAACCCCATAGTATGTCATATTAATTTTCTTCTTTTGAATTGGTTTATTCAAATGTGCAATAAAACTTGGTGCATTTCATTTGAAAAGTCACAACTTTGATATGTAGGTCGAAATTGGGACACCCTGTATAATGGCCAATATTTTAGAAATGTGCCCTTAAATGTCATGTACAGCATCCCATAAATAGATTTTCCCAAAATGTATTTGTTTATGAGTAATATTCCGTCCACACATGGATGGGCCACCCTGTATATCGATCTTGCGCTTTTAAAAATCGAAATCGATATATTTCCTACACATCTATTTTATGAAATTAGATATGAATTAAGTATCCTATTGTTAAAGCTTTTCCATTCTGAAAAAAGCTTTTTGTCGCTTGTTGGAAAAAGCTCTTATTTTTGTTGCACCAAAAGCTCTCTAGTGTCGCGTGCGTGCGTGGTCCTTGCGGCAGGTCGCGGCCACCGTCCGCGGCCCGCGGCCACCTGCGATCCGCGATAGCATAAAAGCGGCGGGTTCCCAACGCGCGACTCCAGTGTGCCGCACGATCGGGTCTGACTCACTCTACACTCCCTCATCCTTGTACTCCCGCGACCAGGAAATACAATATCGTTCGCTACCCCCGAGCAACACCCTGTGGAGGTTGGCGATTGGTACCGTTTGTCCTGGAACCGCTATAGGTCGAAGGAAACATAACCTCGCGAGGTATTTTCATTTGCTGTGGAGGTTTGCCCTGAACCCGCTACTGTCTGAAGGAAAATTACCCTCAGAAGGTCGTATGTTTGCCTGATACCTTGGGAAATCGTTTATTGCTGATCGGAAAATGTACGCGAAAGCGGTGACGCTCGGTATAGTTCTAGTGTCGGCTCTGTCCTCGGTCGTCTACGCCTACTATGAGTACGATGATGGAAACGCACTGGTAAGTTTTTATAGATAGTTTCACTAGTTTAAAAACGTCAAGCGCAGGTAAATTGACCCGTCAAGAATACGATAAACGATTCTTCCAATAATTGCTAAAATAGTTGAGAAATACATGGTCAGGTTTTTTTTTGGAAGAAAACGGTTGTCGTACAACCTTTCAATTTGGATTTCGAAAAAATAATAACAAAGTTTGGGTATACTGGATTTCGTTTGACACAGGTAAATTGACGCGTCAAGTATTCATAAATGACAATTCCGATAATTGCTAAAATAGTTGAGAAATGCATTGTCTTTAGGCTAGTGTCTTTTTGGAAGAAAACAACTGTCTTGCAAGCTTTCAATTTGCGTTTCGGAAAAATAAGAACAAAGTTTTGGGTATCCCAGATTTCGTGAATAGAATACTGAACTCTTTGAAGTCTTTAAAATACACCGCAGTCACTTTTTGTGATCTCTCTAAAGCTTTTGATGGTGTGGACCACCAATTTAGATACTATAATTTCACCGATATTGCTATTTCCCTCTTTACGTCTTATTTGGAAAATAGAACCCATACGAGAAGTGATGTCTCAGGAGAGGGAACTGTACATCGGAGATCCACAGGGCTCAGTGTTGGGTCCCATATTATTCTTGTTATACATTAATGATTTGTATTTGGCAAGCATAATGCTGCTTTCACCATTTTCGCAGACGACACCACTCTCTCCCGAACTGTAGGCTCTCTGGGGAATAGAAGCCGTACAGTGGGATATTAAGGCAAGGTTCGATCGCAGTGGAATTCTGCTGAATCAAAGCAAAACCCAATAGACTGTGTTCTCACTACGAAAGCTGGACGATGTAAATATGAATACATGAACTGCAAAATTTCTGATGGTGCATGTCGACCCGCTGCTTAAATGGGTTGTCCACATAAACCATGGGGCGCAAAAACTTGGGTCTGCACATGTGTGACGACGCTAGCGGAATGAGTGAATGCATCTGTGTTGAAAACATATTATTATTTGACCTTCAGAGGAAGACCATCCGGATGATTAAGAGATTTTATTTTAGGGATGATTGTAGGCAGGATTTTAGAGATCTAGAGACTTTAACATCGCCCTCCCAATACACCATGCACAGTGATGTTCACAAACACAATACCAGGTTCAAGAGTAATGTATTACTGGAGTACTTCCGGCTAACAAGGTGCCAGGTTCAGAGTAAAAAGGAATAACATTTTTTAATCATCTGTCGAAAAGCATCAGAGACATGCTTGTCAAAAAATATAAAGGAAATGTGAAAAACATTTAAAGTCTGGATTTAATACTTTTATTGTACTCTGTACTGATTTTTTTTTATTCTATTTTAAGTCAGATTTGACTTTTGTATCTTTGACCGGTGCAAGGAGAAATGTATATTGTCACCAATAAATTTGAATTTGTATTTGATTCGGGATTTTGTTTGTAAATAAAAACATCAATTAAAAAAAATAACATGCTTGTTTAGATGACGATTTATGGGAGTCATGTTTTTGAAAAAATATGTTTCAAGTACCCCTCAAGCTTTTCTACAAATTTTCAGCAACCTCCTATACAGTTGCGATTCAATCTCATTAATAATTTGAGAATGTTTTCCTTTGGATCGTCAGACTATTTGAAAAGACTTTGTTCTTTGTCATGTAAAAGTTAGAGATAATTTTCATAGTTAGCTTGCCAACTTCTGATGCTTTTCTCTGTTATAAAATGATAAATAATTAAACTGCCGGGTCTCGGCCTGAATATCCATGTGTTAAACTTTTCAAGTACACTAAAATGTTAAGTATCATAACTTGAAAGTTTAGACCTGCCAAATTCAAAGTTCAGAAGATCAGAAGGTAAAAACTGAGTTTAGCTATATTCTGAAGCTTTTCAATTCTTCTTACAACTGTGCCATCTCTAGACTGTTTGAAAACTATAGAGGTTTTTGGTCCGTGGTGTTGTGTCAGAATTTGATCTTGAACTCCGAATAGTAGTTTTCCAGTCATATGGTGGCCTAGAATTACCGGACAGGCGAGAGTCAAAACCGATAGAAGGGAAACTTCAAAATTCTTGAATCCCAAACATATTTTTTAGCTGCGTCCTAAATAAAATTGGAAAATGTCGAATCGAAACATGATATTTACTTAAAGCATAACTCTCAACTACGCTTACAAGTCATCAGAAACGTCCGAAATTTTCCACTTTTCTCTCATAGCCTCGCCGCCACTGTACCGATTTTCAAAATTCACAAAGATTTTTTGTCATTGATAAGGTAATAACTCTTTGTCAAAATTTTAAATACCTGTCCAGTACTTTTTGAGATTTAACTTAAATGTAGTACACTAATTACATGCTGAACCATGCCTAATAGCATGAAAGGCTTATTAAATTTCAAAAAAATGTTAGTTAAATATTGTAGCCGCAGATTTTTTAATATTGAATGAATATATTTTTTATATTTGTAGTGTATAATAATTTACATATTTTCGCGATATTTTTCCAAATACTTAGAAAATATATGAGAAAAGATTTTTTAGTATCAATTCTATATTTTGGAAATATATGAAGCAAAAGATTTTCAAGCAAAAATATTACATCTAAGATACATAAAAATATTTGGTGAATATTCTCTGAATAATGGACTTTTAATGTTCTTCATTGATTGAAAAATAAATGTTTAATGAATACTATAAAAGAAATATTGCATTTAAAATATACAAAAGATATTGATTAAATATTTGAAAAAAAATTATAATCCAAATGTGTATTAAATATTCGTTTAAGATAACAAATATTAAAATAAGATTAAATTTTTAAACTTTGAACTCTCCTTCAACTTGAACCGCAAAACAATAACATTCATGAACCCGTCAATGTTAGCACATTGCCTCAATTCAAAATATTCTATTACTACACTACACCACGTATATTCATTCTCCTCATACTACTTCCTATCATTACTATAATTATCAGAGAGCACGATCTAATCCAGGAATCTTTAAATTAAAAAGCACAAAGGTTATTGTCAGCATTATCTCATCAGCTTTTTACGAGTATATGCCAATATTCACAGAATCAACTCTATGTAAACTAATTGATTTTGACATTTTTTGAATACAATCCAGCTTATCTATAATGATCGTAGAGCTTGACGACGATCCTTCGTTCCTCATATTATCTTCGGCAGATACTTTTATATAAAACAATTATATTCAAACGTGACTACGTTGAATCATTGGCACATTGAAACAACTCATTAGTTCTCATGTAAAAATAGTGCTGATGATTTTTTGCAGAAATGCTGAGAATGAAGATGATATCTTACAGCTTTTTCTGATACATGACAAAATGATGCATTCCACGGTAAACCAAGCAAGACTGACAAATCATATGCAAGATGCTGTAAATCTACCACTTCTCAAGAGGTTGGTGATTCATAAGATTGTATATAAAAGCGGTTATCCAATTCATAGCTAGTAGTTCCTCGTGATGACTCACGCAATCATTAAATACAAAACGCGAACTGCAATATCCCACAGAAAGAGATAGATGCCTACCTATCTTATCAAAACGCACTGATAAGAGCCTGAGTGATACAGATTCATTTTAGAACATTTAGTACCTCGCGAAATGGATACGAAACAGCTTATTTGCGTCATTTTTGTTTTGTGTGGATATATTTCGTTTTTCCCTGGAGTTGTTTCGGAAGCAGATCAAGATGCTTTGGTAAGTTTTCTTTGTCTGTAAAACAAGAAAGTCTTTGCTTAAAATCGTCTTATGTCTACTAGATCATATGAAATAAATTTTGTTGGTCCATAATCTTGTAATGTATGAAACTTTAAGGCTGACCCCTTGACTTAACTGATATATCGAATCTTTGATCACTAGATTGCAGGTGTCTCGAACAACTCTTCAAGTTAATATCAGCAGATTGATGCCAAAAATAAAATATTTGAACCTATCTTCGAGTCGTTGGCGATGCTTTCTAAATAAAGTAGTTTAATGAAATCTTTTGAGCTTTCACAATTTAAATTTAATGTGGGGCTATGTATATTTAGAAAAGATGTATTAGGCATTTAGGTTATACACACAAGCTCAGAATCTATTAAAGTTATCAAGAATTTTAAAAATGTGCAAATGATGTCTATAGATATAATCGCAAAGTTTTATTGTGCTTGCAGACTGGATACCATCATTTCATGTATTGTCCTATACCTCATCGCAACAGTATATAAAATATATATAAAATTGTGGTTTGCACAACAGCTACTTCCGATTGAAATTAAAGTAAGTAGGTGTAAAGCAGGTTTTCACAAACAGACATTGAACTTTGGTCGGATCTAGGAAAACACTTGTACCATAATGTATCTATATCCTGCATATAATTAACAAAATGAGTCAACTGCTTCTAAGAAAGCATGGTAATAGTACGGAATGTATTAATGTTGATTAGCTGTGGAGTGTTACATTGTTAGATATGATCGAAATGACAACGATATCTTCGATACGAACGGAACTAATGTTTCTGTATCCCAACCCACTTAAATCTGAATACAAATAACTTCAACACATTGACCGCAAACGTGTCAAAAACATGTTTTTAATTTTTAGTTAATAAAATATGTAAGGATATAAATGCCTTATTGCCTTCGATTGATTTTGCAATAAACTTGATATAACTTAACACAGAACCCGGACGATCGGTGCTAAAGAACAAGTTAAAAGTGGTGTCAGCTCTGATGACTGACACGGCACAGTTGGAATAGTTCAGTGTCAGTCACTAGATACTTTTAAGAGCAACAAAGATAAGCTTTACGCTATGTTATATAAACAATATACATAGTTCGCCTAATCTCTTTTCTTTGCCCTCTTCAAATAGCTGTCAAAGCAACCATGTAGTGTGAAGTATAGTAATCTATTTGCATCGATCTCTTGTCAATCCTTTAATATCTGGGATCAGATCATCTCTCCTGCCATCTGAAAAAAACTGCTTCACTTCCGTTGC